TCACTTAGACCTCCAATACGGTCCTGCAAAGCATGGGCCTCTCACAGAGAAACGGTTTCTTGTTCTTGCACAAGGACAACCCTAATGAGTCAAGCTCATCAATATTTAAATGGTGCAGTTTGCATACAGATGCATCCGTAAGTGTAGAGATAAGGCGCACCTTGAAATTTTATCACGGTATATAATTTTGATGTAAAATGTTATTAGGATTATCTCAAAGTCTATTTTTATATCTAATTATAAAATTTTAAATTTTAAAAAATGGTTAAAATCAAGTAGATCTATAAACATATGAAAATCTTGAAAATTGACGGTGCAGATAATATATTGTAAAATGCACTATTTATGAGACTTAAAATCTTTTTATTTTTTATAGTCATCCATCTTGATGTTGAGATGATCAATCAAATGGTTTTTCAACATTAAAACTACCTTTTTTTGATGGATCTTTGAGAGGCATCTGTAGTTCTATATTATAAGGTAACATCCTCATATAAACTTTGAGTAATGATCCTATGAGACCCTCCCACACCCATGTGTGTAGGACCCCAAATGATCACCATTAAATTTGGCACATATCTCTAAAACATCGATGTGATAATTTTTTTAGAGATCTGTGCTAAATTTAATGGTGATCCTTTGGGGTCCTACACACATGGGTGTGGGAGGGTCTCATAGGATCATTACTCATAAACTTTTTCCATATTTAAATAAGCCTTGCATATTATTTGCCTAATCAGGGAATTAATTAAACTAAGGGTTTCTATATTTCCCTTACTACATAGAAGTTTTATACTTCCCCTCCCATCCAGCTGTCAAAGTTAGATCATAGAAGTATTGACCGTTTGATCTAGATCCGATGCTTCAGAGTATATCATTTTTATTTTTTGTTCTACAAATTATATAAATATGAAATTTGGAATGTGCCATCATCTCAATAGGATGCACCTAAATAAAATATAAAAAAATATTTATAATAAAATAAAGGAATCAAAATACCCTTGAAAGTTTAAAGGTATTTTGGTTATCTTGTTTTATCGATATATATATATATTTTTTGCAGGTTCTAATTTAAGAGAGAAGTGGACACCTAAAATTTGGTATCAAAATGGTTTGTTCAAAAAAATAAAATAAAAATAAAACAGTGTAGAAGCATGATATTGTAATTGGATCCATCATAGCCATTTATTCAAAATCTGATGGCTAGATAAGAGGAAGTATATAACTACTACACATTATGGGAAGTATAGAAAGCTTGCCTTTGTCAAAATACACAAGTGATAAACTATTTAACATATTAGTTGCATCTTTTGATTGAACTTCATAATAGCCATCATAATACACATGAACACATGAACATGTTGAAATACACATGAACACATGAACATGTTGAAAATGGTAGACTTTTAAATTGTTGAAATTTGCAAGTATTTTGATAAATTTCCTTAAATTAACTAGATGTATCAAATATGCTTGGCTAATCTGATCCGTTAATTTTTTGGATGAGATTGATTTGGGCAGTCACATGTTCCACAAAAGTAGAACTTGGGCCCTACCTTTATGATGTTCCCCGTCTTCTTTGTTATGTTAATGATGGCCCAGGCCGGCTTGGTTCATATAAACCCCTATGAGCCTGGCTCATTAGATCATTCCCATTTATGAAATGTAAGGGTGGCATTGAACCTGATCAGATCTGAGATCAGATAGGTAGATCTAACATCGGGTCCAGGTATGGGTCTAAATTTTATACTCGAAAGGCATGTTCGGACCCAAAACCTCGACCTGAATACTATTGGGGTCTGGATCGACTTGATTAATATAAATATATGTGGGTATTGATAAATGTTGCCAATATGTTTGTTTCTTAAAGACTTTAAGTAGTTATTATATAAAACAATAAGGAATGTGGGTATGTATGGGTACTTATAAATTTTATACAGTACTATAAATGTTGCCAATAATATGGGTATTAAGATGGTAAAAAATGGAAAAGAAAGAAAGAAAGAGACCTCGTAGTCATAGGCCACATGTCTCAATAAACTAAAGGAAAACACAATTATTTAAATGAATAAAAAGCTTCTATTCACACAATAAAAAAATTAATTTAATTAGCACACAATCATTTCCCCTCGCCAAGGGCCACATGCCCAACTTGCACTTGTACCGGGCGATCTCTCTCTCGGGTCTAGGTCCCATTGTAATTTTCATGTTCAAGTTTGGGTCCAGATCTAATGACCATAGACCCGGTGGAGGTCTAATCATTTTCACGTTTGGTCAGATCTGGACCCGATGAAATGACAACAAAAAGAAAATGAAAAAAAGCAAACCACACGTAAGTTGACAACCAAGAGAAAGAAAAAAAGAAAAAAAAAGAGAAAAAGAGAATATTAATATCCATCCTGCGTTGTCACGAAATGATAATGTGGAATAAATACATGGCAAAACGTAAGCCCCGTATTCCTTTCTTTCTTTCACCATTAATGAAAGCACGTAGAGGCCCAATTATGGAAAATAAGAAAAAGATAAATACTGTAGTGTATCAGTAGTACATCGAAACAACCAAAAAGATACTGAAAAGGTCATGTGCACTTTACATGTGCTTAAAAAAATAAAATTTAAAGATCAAAAAAATACTATCCAATTTTTGAATGGTCAGATCTAAATATTAGGAATTCAAAATCCAATTATTTTCATTAAAGTGCCGATCGGATGAGTCTAAAGCGGCTCCCAAAATATCCCATAAAAGTAGTCCTCTAAAGTAATACTCTTAGATGTGCTTAATATTACTAATAATTCATTGTATAAATAAAAATAATTTTATAATGAATGTTGTTTAGCAGAATAATTCATAAAATTATCTAAGATAAACTTATATGCAGTTTTATAAATAAATATATATATTTTAAAATATGTTTTTACTTCATTCAAAGTAATTTACTAAAAATTATATATTTTTAACCACAAATAATTGAAAAGTCTTCAAAAAAATTAATAATCAACTAGGATTATATGTAATGCAAAGTATGTTCCAAGTAGCTAACAAAATAATATATAAGATAATCTAATCCTGATAAGATTGACTTTCGTCCAAACATGCCCCTATGTATCTATATTACACAATGTTGTCGGATTCGCTTCGGAGCCTTATTCAGTTTGCTGAGAAAAATGAAGCAATTCAGTGCTTACGCTGATTTGGGGGGGAANACTTCGGACTTATATATATATATATATTAAAGATTAAGAGTGTTATAATAAAATAAAATAGTATTTTTTTANAAGCAAGAAATGATCT